ACCTCTGTCTACCATTGTGTTGAGGATGATGAGAGGAGGACAAGCTCATCTTCGTCCATAATGCCTTGGCTACCTCCATCCAGAAGTCGCTCGCAGTACTTTACCATCCCCCACATAATCCACATGGACTCCACTGGATTCCACTGGATTCCACTGGACTTCACTACATACTGGCAATATCCACAAAACTGGACTCCACTGGACTGCAAGCACAAATCTGGACTGGACTGCAAATCACAAAACTGGACTCCACTGGACTCTCCCAATACAAAACTGGACTAGACTGGACTGCCACAGACATAAGTTAATTCAGAATTCCTGAACTTAGATTTTAAAACAAAAAATAAAATTGAAGTATATTTATTAATTAAATAAATTAGTTTTACTAGATTCTATGTTACAGAGAGGGAGGGAGAAGAAGGAAAAGAAAGGGGAGAGGGAAAGAAAGGGGAGAGGAAAGAAAGAAAAAAGAAAGGGAGAAGGAAAGAAAGGGGAGAGGGAAAGAAAGGGGGAGGGAGTGGTGATCAGAAAGGGAAAGGGAGGGGGGAAGAGAGGAATGGAGGGGGGAGGGAGCAAGGAAGGGGGAAGGGAAAGGGAGGGAGTAAGGAAGGGGGAAGGGGGGATAGAGGGGAGGGAGTGAAGGGGGGAGAGAGTGGAGGGGAGAGGTGCTGGTGCTGGGCCCTTGTCACCGTTCTGCGTTGGCATGCTGTCAGGTGGAGGCGGGCACTCTGGGCACTGGTGGTTTTTTGTGGGCACATGTCGTGTTTTGGGTGGGTGCTCATCATTTTTTTGTGGGTGCTCATTGTTTTTGTGGGTGCTCGTTGTTTTTTGTGTGTGGTGGGGGGTGCTCATGTTGTGTCGTCGTCCTGGTGTGTCTTTGTTCGCCTCATGACGTGNGTTGCCATTGCGCATGTGGCGGTTGTTGCATAGGGTTGTGGTGCCATTGTTGTGGGGTTGTTGGCACATGTTGTGGTCATTGTCGATGTGTCATCGCCAGTTTGCATTGTAGCATTCTTGCGCCATGTCGACATCTGTGGGTAAGTGGGTCAGGTGGAGTTGGGTTGCTCACCTATGGACGACGAACATCGCTTGTCATCATTCATCATCTGGTCGTCATGTCGCCGATAGTGACGTGGCACTGGCGCCCATGACTGGGCACAGTCCCTCATTTCCTTGTTCATTTTGTTTGGCATGCTGCTTCGGTGATGTGGCTGAGAGCGGTGGCGATGGCCGAGAGTGGTGGTGGTTGCAGGACGTTGGTGGTGGTAAGAGACAGGTGGTGGTGGTGGTGGAAGGGAAAGAGATGGTCATGCAAATGTGACTATGCCGCAGAAGGCAAACATGACGGTATGACAATGTTTGAACACCACAAGTACATCACGTGCCACACCCTGCAGACTAAACAAAATCATTGATCATTATTGCAACGAGCACTTGTGTCTACTTCTATACAACTCATTACATTTGTATAATCTAATTTCGCTTTTTTGGTAGTAATTAATATCCATAAGTAATGATGGACTGGACTCACTGGACTGCTGGATTCCACTGCAGTCCAGTGGAATCCAGTGGACTCTGACTGGACTCTTAGTCCACTGTACTGGGGCTGGACTCAGAAGAGTGGCTTGCAGTCCAGTGAGAGTCCAGTGGACTGGACTGGACTTGAGGCCAGTGGACTGGGCATTATGCAAGCCAATCTGGCCTAGCAACTGGGGCACTGGAATCCACCGGAGTCCACTGGAGTCCACTGGAATCCACATGGATTATGTGGGGGAGGGTAAAGACCTCTCTTTAGGGAATAGATTTCCACTTTTTTTGAAGTATAACCGTGATTGTATTTGACTAACACACTTTTCTGACTAGTTTGAAGGTGTTGTTGTCATCAAAATGCTCATATCACTTTTGGCAATGCGCATATAACCACAATTGTGCATATCACTGAATTTTGAACACATATATGCAGCTGTAACTGTTTGTAGTGGAGGGCCACATGCCTGTACCAACTACTTCCCTGCTGTCATCTCTGCTGTCCCCTCTGTCTTCACCATTATCACCTGCAACCAATTGTCCCCCTGCCCTTTATCTGTATCACCATGTTTTACACACACTACTGCAGTTAACCGTCAATTACCGATTTTAGATGGTCTTGTGCTGACTACTTGTCCTCAGAACACATGTCAAACTACTCATAATATGCATCCATCTTCCTTCCATCTGTCCTCCAACTCTTCTAGTGACGAATCACACACATACATTCCACAAAAAATGTCGTCAACTGCTTCTGTCGAATCCACAAGTGGAAAGGCTCCTGTACTGACAGGCAGGGATGTTACCCCTGCTGTCATAATGGAGTTTGAAAATACATGCCATGATTTCTTTGAAGCAAAGTCTGTCCTGGTGGATAAGCAGGTCACTTTCATCCTTCCCAGTATCAAGGACTTCTGCATTCGTAACTGGATTGCTGCCGATCGCGCTACTATTGTAGCTCTTCCTTTTACTTTGTTTATGTCCCAACTCTGCAAGAACTCTCTTCATCCAGACTGGGAGGACCATGTGTGTGACGAGATCCTGAAGTCACGCCTTGAACCTAACAAAGAGTCCTTTTGGGCATGGTCACAAAACATCATCAAATTGAACTGCTTGTTGAGGGACACCACCTCCCTTGTTGACGACGCCACCCTATGTAATCAGCTTGATGCTCACCTCAATGATGACTTGAAGGACCATGTTAAACATAGCAAGGCAAAGAAGGAGAAAACTCTCAAGTTGTGGGTTGACACTGTGCGCTGCTTGGACGAAACATGCATTAGTGAAAACAAGCGTCACCACAATCTCATAGAGGAATCTCTCAACCAATGTCAGTCAAAACACCAGGCAACTGATGCCAATGCTTTACACAATAAGACAAACTGTACCAATAATTCCACTTTGTCCTTGATGTCTAGCTCCACCTATGTTCCACTCCCTATCCTACTTGACTCTGAACACACCCTCTTGAATGAACACAACAGCTGCACAAAGTGCAGGAAATTTTACGTTGATCATAGATCTTGCAATTGCCCTTCAGGTTTCCCTCATGGAAAAGATTATAAGACCTTAACTACCGCACACACTTTAGCGGCTTTGGCTGCAAATAACACAAAAAAGGGAAAATCAGGTGCCACTGCAACCACATCTTTGAAGTCAGCTCCTAAGGCTGTTGCTGCAACGGCTCCGTCTTCTGATGAAAATGGACTGGTGGGTACCACTTTTATCATATAAATAAGGTAACTGCCTATAGCTCCCTGTGTATAAGTCCACAGTCTTTATGATAGGAATCATTCCAGTTACCATGCCTTTTCATTAGGCAATTTTCATTAGATACCTGGGCGATATCATTGTGATTTTCATTATTTATCTGGCCCATATCATTGTGATTTTCATTAGATACCTGGGTGATATCATTGCGACTTTCATTAGCCACTTGGGCGATATCATTGCAATTTTCATCAGCTACCTGGGTGATATCATTGCAATTTTCATTAGGTGCCTGTGTGATATCATTGCAACTTTCATTAGCTACATGAGCAATATCATTGTGATTTGTCAATTAAAAGCCTGTGCATTTCATTGTGATTTTTCAAATGTAGCCATGGGTATTTCATTGCGATGTTCAATTGAAAGCCTGCACATTTCATTGTGATTTTTCAAATGTAGCCCTGGGTATTTCATTGTGATTTTCAAATGAATCCCTGGGCATTTCATTGTGATTTTTCAAATACAAAGTCAACTCACCTCAACCCTACAACAATATCTCCATGAACCTTTACATAGTCAAGGACACTCCAACCCAAATGTCAAAAAAGCGGACTACAAACTTTTGTAGTCCTAAAAAGCGGACACTACCAACTTTTGTAATGAAAAAGTGGATGCTACTAACTTTTTAGTGGATGGACAGACAATAAACAGATGTCTATAACTGTAATCAAGGGTATCAGTAAAATTTTGTAGTCTATGTCCGACTTTTGTAGTCTTTTTTTAGTCTATCAGTAAACTTTGTAGACTATGTCTGACTTTTGTAGTCTTTTGTATTCTATCAGTACAATTTGTAGTCCATGTCTGAACTTTGTAGTCTATGTCCGACTTTTGTAGTCTTTTTAGTCTATCAGTAAACTTTGTAGACTATGTCTGACTTTTTTCGTTTTTTGTAGTCTATTAGTAAACTTTGTAGTCAATCTGTAATCTTTTGTAGTCTCTCAATGTAGGTTTCCCTTTTAGGGTATGAACCTTCCTTTTTGGGTCAAATTTCCCACAATACAATAGTTATGGCCCCTTCTCTTAGCTTTCTAAATGTGTTGAAATTATATTGTTTGATGCTTTTTCATGGAGAAAAATGCAAAAAACAAAAAACAAAAAAGCTGGCAGTGTGAAAAGTCTTTAACCCCATATCTCCACAATGGGAGCTCTCTGTGACATAATTCAAACAGATCTGAAAGATACATTGCATGGCTACAACTTTCCTTTTTTGACCATTTCAATTGGTCATGTGACCACCCTCCCAGGAAGCCCATTACATGGACCCTGATATGTATCATCATTCTTTCCTTGATTTCTCATACTTTTTTGTCATATCCAATTTTGGATACATACAGTGGACCCTGAAAGCAGTACCTGACATCCTATACACCATTCCTATTTTTTTTTCTATTTTTTCTTCTCATTTTCTAGCTATTTTTAGAAATATCCATTGAAAAATCACAATGAAATACCCAGGGCTATATTGACAAATCACAATAAAATGCACAGGCTATGAAATGAACTGCCCAGGGATTCAATTGAAAAATCACTATGAAATGCCCAGGGATTCATTTGAAAATCACAATGAAATACCCAGGGCTACATTTGAAAAATCACAATGAAATGCGCAGGCTTTCAATTGAACATCGCAATGAAATACCCAGGGTATCCATTGAAAATCACAATGAAATACCCAGGGCTACATTTGAAAAATCACAATGAAATGCACAGGCTTTTAATTGACAAATCACAATGATATTGCTCATGTAGCTAATGAAAGTTGCAATGGTATCACACAGGCACCTAATGAAAATTGCAATGATATTGCCCAAGTGGCTAATGAAAGTCGCAATGATATCACCCAGGTATCTAATGAAAATCACAATGATATCACCCAGGTATCTAATGAAAATTGCCTAATGAAAAGGCATGGTAACTGGAATGATTCCTATTATAAAGACTGTGGACTTATACACAGGGAGCTATAGGCAGTTACCTTATTTATATGATAAAGGTGGCACCCACTAGTGGAAGACAACGATGAACTGAGTACTGTTGCTACTGTCTTACCTGGCATCAGTGACTATGAATCAGATTCTCCAGAGGAAAAGACCTCTCCGTCTGTGATGTAAGTGTGCCTGTCAAGTCCAAGCATCTTATTTGGCATTGCCAAATTCACAGACTGATGTCTGATTTTCCAGTAAAAACATGCACACTTATAGATAATGGAGCACACATGGTCCTCACCTGTCCCGAACTTGTCGCTAAATTAAGTCTGAAGATATGTTGTCTCAAGGAACCGGAACTCATTGATGTTGCTTTGAAGAATGGACAAAACTCTGCTACCAAATTGTATGAATACTTCAAACTCTCTGTTACATCTTTAGATGCCGCATGGACTTCAAAATCAGTAAAAGCTTTGATTGCACCAAACCTTTGCATGCCCTTGATTCTCAGACTCCTGTTCTTGATACACAATACCATCATTGTAGACCACACCGATTGCACCTGTATAGATAAATGTGCCAATTATGACTTGTTGAACCCTCTGTTAATCACACCTCCACCACCCCCTAAACCTCGTTTAAAGGAACAACTAAGGGAAACAAAAGCAGATAAAAAACTGCTACTGGCAGAATTATTATTAGTCTGCAATGACCAATTCAAAAATCCAAAGTTGCAACCAGAAATAATCGAAAATTTTAATGTGGCTGCTGCAGTTTGTGAATGGATTGAAATCCTTGCATGCAAAGAAACTTTGTCCACACTCAAGAATAAAATGAAAACAGAATTCAAAGAAGTATTTGAACCAATACCACATGTCGATGAATTACCAACAAACATTTATGCATCCATACATCTAAAAAACACTGAAAAGACAATCAAATCATGTTCCTACCCTTGTGGAGCACTACTAGTAGCAGTTATCCTCAGGTAGTGGGACAGCCATAGGGAGTCTGACAGATACATGCACAAAGGTGAGATGACCTTCACGGAAGTCGAGAGTCGTGGCTATAATGCGCAGGATTGTGGAATGTGACAGTTCACTGTACCTGTATCCCGATCTCCACGGACAGTTCTGATGGAGATTGCATTTAGCAGTGTTTGAGTCTTCTATGTCCCACAAATCTCTGAGAGCTGAATTTAGCCATTAGTAGGGCTAAGTATCAAGCAATACAGAGGGAATGTGGTGGTAAGAAAGATGTATTCGCCTCATGTACAACATGAGGTATATGTACCATGCTTATGTAATGAAATGTAATGAAGTGCAATGAAATGTAAAATGGATGAGAGTTGAATCTCGGGGAGTGGGAAGGATCCAAGTGCAACAGTGAAGGCTTACTGAACCAACATGCTACAACCCTTCTCTGCGTAAATACAAGGAAGCTTGGGGTACACTCATACAGCAGCATTTGGATGCAGGAAGGATCCAACCATCTTCATCACCTTATGCATCACCCGCTTTCATCATCCCCAAAGCCAACCCAAATGTTCTCCCTCGCTGGGTGAATGATTATCGCCAGTTAAATAAAAACACCATCACTGACTCACATCCCCTTCCACAGATTAACGACATATTATCTGATTGTGCAAAGGGTAAAATCTGGGGTACAATAGACATGACAAACTGTTTTTTTAAAACTCAGATGCAACCAGAACACGTACTGTTGACAGCAGTTAACACACCACTGGGGCTGTATGAATGGCTCATTATGCCTATGGGTCTTAAGAACACCCCGGCTATTCATCAGCAGTGTGTAACTGCTGCCCTGAGAGAACTGCTTGGAAAATTTTGCCATATATCTAGACGATATTGTGATTTGGTCGCAGACAATCAAGGAACATGAGCGAAACGTGAAGGCTGTCCTAAACGCACTCCGCAAAGCACGCCTATATGTAAATCCAGATAAAACAAATTTGTTTTGCACAGAGATTGATTTCTTGGGGCATCACATTAGTTCCTGGGGTATTGAAATGGATAACAAGAAAGCAGATTCCATCGTCAATTGGCCTATACCTAAAAACTCTACTGGAGTCAGAAGTTTCCTGGGCTTAGTTCGATACCTAGCGGATTTTCTTCCAGCACTGGCAGAACACACAGGGATCCTAACAGAGTTAACAACAAATGAATCAGAGAAAAAGTTTTTGGCTTGGAATGATTGTTACCATCAAGCCTTTGAAGCAATAAAATCTATAGTCATTAGCAGGTAGTGTTTAAAAGTCCGGTTAGGTTAGGTTATTGGGTGCCCAGGGGCTCTAACCGAGACCAAGACCGGTTAAGGTTCATTCCCAGACCCAAAATAACCTAACTGGACCGAAGATAACTGACCAAAACCAGTTAGTCACAGTTACTAACCAGTTAGGACCGAAAAAATAGAAAATCGATTAAAACAGCATATATTTCTTGCAGTAAACATTATTGCCATGCATCGTAGCTTTAAAATAAGCCCAAGAACGCTAAATTTGGTGAAGAATTGACAATTTTATGATAATATTCTTGAAAGCCTACTCTTTTGACCAATATTTTATAAATTTGACCATAACTCTGTCAGATTTTTAGCGTTTCTCATGCTTTTAGATGTGTTTTTAAGGGGTATAATAGGGTCGGTTGTAACCGGTTATAACTGGTTTTTTAATGGTTAGTTAACTGCAAAATAACCGGTTATTTCATTTCCAGAATTGAATAACCACTAACTGTGGTCCGGTCTGGTCTCGGTTATTTTCCAGTTAACTGACCTAAACTTCAAACACTATTAGCAGGGACTGCCTAACAACGATTGATTTATCAAAATTACCTGAATATAAAATTTTCATAACCACAGATGCTAGTGACAAGTGCTCTGGCACAGTACTGTCCTTTGGCAAAACATGGAACTCTGCGCATCCAGTGGCTTTCAACTCAATGACCTTCAAAGGGGCCAAATTGAACTATCCAGTTCATGAGAAGGAACTACTTGTGATTATCAGAGCACTGAAAAAATGGCGGGTAGACTTACTGGGATCACCATTTTTCATTTACACAGACCATAAAACACTGGAAATTTTTAATACCCAGAAGGACCTCTCACAACGTCAAGCACGGTGGATGGAATTCATGTCACAATATGATGTGAGAATCATTTATGTCAAGGGTGGCAACAACACAGTCACTGATGCACTCT